AAAAAAAAAAAAGAAAGCTAGGAGAGCGTGATGTAACAGAAAATAAAGATTTCTGAAAGTGAAAGGTAAATAACAGTATTAGTTGTCTCTGAAAGTATGACTAAAATAAAGAAGGAGAGCTAACTAATAAAAATTTCCAATTGGAAGACCAGGTAACCTTCATGAGGATACTTTCATCAGTAAATTGATGAAAGCAGATGCTAGATTTCAGTTAGTTGAGATGTTGACTGTGAAGTTGAAAGAGCTTGTATACACTATTTTCTTAAGTTTCTACATTCCTTTGCCTAAACTACATATTGGTTAATCCTGAAAGAATCCTAGAACTTAAGAGGTGAAATGAAGTCTCGTTAAGGTATAATAGAAAAAAAAGTTCAGAGAGTGACTGATGTGGCCAACCACACAATTTATGTAGTGAATTGAATCTTGTAAGATGAGCCATGAGTAGGGTAGGATTCCTGAACAAAGTAAACAGCAACATTTTTAAAGATGCCAAAGCATGAAACAAGCACATTTGAAAGAAGCACAGTACTTTCTGAAGTCCTAGATGAGGAGAAAAGACGACATGAGGACAAACAGAAGGGCAGGAGTCATGGAAGGCTTTGATATCAGGCTAAGAAATTTGAACTTTTTGCTTGATGACTTGGGATGTTATAAAAAAGAAATTAGAATTTTGCCTTGTATGTGATGAGAGTTATTACAGAGTTATTATTTGAATTTTGATTCCCCTGTACCATGTCATTTAAAAATGTGCTCCAATAAGGCAATACACATGTTAAGTCTTAAAAAACACATTCAACTTAATCACCCACATGACATTAGGTGCGTAAAACGAGGGTTGGTGTAACTGAGAATGCATCTAGGAGAGTGTGTTAAAGCTATTTGGAAGCAGAAGAGAGCAGAAGACATTTTTTTAAATGTCTTTACTTACTGAACAGCTACTAGGTGCTAAACACTTTCTGGTATTCTTCACCACTATTGTTCTTCATTATCCAGATAAGGAAAAATTATTCTTTTGGTTAAGTAGCTTGCTGAAGGCATATAGCAAGTCAGTGAAGAAATTTGGCTTCTGTCTCTAACTTAGGGGTCCAGTGTTCTCTCCATTGCAGAAAAGATTTGCTACGAGGATTATCACCATAACCTCCTACTCATCATGAGTATCCATACCCTTATCCTTTGGTGCTGATTCAGAGGCCAAGAGGCCAGAGTAGTCCACAATAGATTTGTAACATTTTATTTACCATGATAGCACTAGCACTGAAGTAGATCCACCTGTAGGTAAAACTAGCCTTTCTGTGGCGTGCTCCCTGATCTGATTGGTTTTACCTCACTGGAGTCAAGTCTAAGCAAGATAAGGGAAGCAAGAGAGGTTTGGGATTTTCAGAGTAGGTGGATTTTTTCCCTGTCCATAATGTACTTCATTCACATGTGTTTCTTCTAATATTTTGCAGGTTTACCTTAAGGTAAAAGAGCCTGTATTCCATCAGGTAACTTTTAAAAAATTGTCAACATTTGATTGTTTAACAATATATTCCTGCTTTGTGTTTTCCTTTTCTAGGAAAGTATATGCAGATACAACTCTTGAAAATTCAATGATAGATGTCCTAGGAAAGTTCAGTGTTTAAAACAGAGGTTACACACTCAAATTCCTTCAGGAGCCAGGTGCAGGTAATAGGCATATACCTGGAACAGCCAATGCCCAGGTCCAGCTGGCTCTTGATATTCAGTAATACATATGCAACATGCTCTTACAAGCACAAGAAACCAGGAAGACAGACTGAAAATTCCTTAAATATTTCCCCCTAATATAGTTTAATAAGTTGTTTGATAAGGGAGGTTATTTACATTGAAGGAAGCAAGCATAGGAAATGTTGTAGTAAATGGTGATTTAAGCACATCCTATTATGAAACCAGAGTAAAATAAAGTAGCAAACCTTAAGTAAAGAGAGCTATTATTTATTGTTACCGTGTACTTGGTACTATACTTATTACGACACAGACTTCTCATCTTCTCAGAATCCCACTAGTGATTATGATCCATATCTTAAGGGAAAGGAGCTCAGAGAGAGTAAGTAATTTGCCTCAAGGTGACACAGTACTAAGAGGCAGAGCCAGGATTATAATTTAGATTTGTCAGATTCCTATTCACCATCTTTTTAACAAAGTAGCAAACAAACAAAATAAATAAGCACACTTTTCAGGGATAGATAAGTGTCGGAGGCTTTGTAGTTTTAAAGTACTTTGTGCTTATATAAAAAGTAAACATTGCTATTGCTTTTTAAAACTTAAGCTATACAAAAATCATCTAACCGAAAACTGCTTTTTGAAGTAAATTCCATAACCACATTATTGTGTCTTGCTTTTATTCAGGCCAACTAAAAGTAGATGCTACAGGAAAGGACATCCTCCCTTTCTTGAAATGATGCCATTATATAATTACTCTTTTATTTAGAAAGATTTATTAGCAGTATAAATATGAAATTAATTTATATGAAGAATATTTCAGTTTTATAAATTTATTATTTGCCTTTTCTAGGAAAAAAACAAAAAACAAAATTTTGAAATTTGGGGTTAATTTTTAAATGTTTATGACCATCAATTTTTCATTTTGTATTTCAGATCTATTAGAAATAACTATGAATGTGACTGTCCATGCTACAATATCCACGTGTTTTTCTAGTAATAAATATTTTCTCTCTATGCATAGTAGAAATACTGATAAGAAGGGAAACAAAATGAAAACTAGGTCTATCCATGCCCCTTTCATCTTATGTATGTCCTAGGTCTAGAGATTAAAATTCAGAATAGGGAAATGAAGAAATAAGGAGGATATTAGGGTGAAGGAGATAATAATCTAAAAGGAAAAGACTTTAATTCATTTAACAGATATCCACTGTGTATACCTTCTCAGTACCAAATTCTGAGCTGGAAGTTCGAGAGAGACAGTAGACCAAAGTCTTTAAGTTCTAAAGTGAAGTAGACCTAAATTCAAATCTAGTCTCCTCCACTTATAGCGATATGCCCTGGACAAGTTACTTAACCTCTCAGATATTTGGTTTCTTCATTGTTCAACAAACACTTTTTAAGTAGTTTCAATGTGCCAGGCACTATATGAGGTACAAGAGATATACTAGTAAATAAAATATCAAAGTCTTTGCCTTCAAGGAGCTTATTATTATACCTTTTCTCTAAAATTGGTATAATAACCTCCTAATTGAGGATTAAGTGAAATAATGCATATAAAACCTCTGTCATATAGTAAACACTCAGTAAATGTTAACTAGTATTAATATACCAAGAAATAAATGAGGCTACTGGTCTCAAGAAGGTCACTGTCTAATCAGAAATATAGACTTGTAAAAAATAATTATAGTCTATAAGTCTTGTTAAAAATATGTAAAACCAAAGCCAGGCACAGTGGCTTATGTCTGTAATCCTAGCACTCTGGGAGGCCAAGACAGGTGGATTGCCTGAGCTCACCGGTTGGAGACCAGCCTGAGCAAGAGCAAGACCCTGTCTCTAAAGATAGCTGGGCGTAGTGGCAGACACCTATAGTCCTAGCTACTTGGGAGGCTGAGGCAAGAGAATCATTTGAGCCCAGGAGTTTGAGGTTGCTGTGAGCTGTAATGCCACAGCTCTCTACCAAGGGCAATAAACTGAGACTCTTGTCTTAAAAGTAAATAAATAAATAAAAATGTAAAAACAGTGGGAATATAGACAAGGTCACAATTAGTCTGCTTAGTAGACAGTTGAGGAAGATGTTCCAACCAGAAAGAAACATGTATTAAGTTACATAAGTGTGGACTGGTAACTCTTGCATGTGAAACAAGAGTACAAATTCACCCAGAGGTTTATGGTAGCATGCTGAAGTTACTTACAAAACCACTGACTGCATATAAAAATGGCCTATCTTCCTAGAACATTTATTCATGCATATTATGGTGCATGAATATGGTGGGATTAAACTTTTTAAAATTAAAACAAATTAGATGTATTATAGAATAGAGTACTATGGCCACATAAATTTTTAGGATAAAGTAGGAAACTTCAAAGAACTATGTTTTTATAGTTGTGCCTCTCCTATATCTGTCCATTAGGAATAAGTCATCTTCCTTTTGCCATTAGTAATACTTTTGTAGAAAAGTTTAAAAAGCACTAGTACCCTCTAAATATTTGGTATAGCTACCCTAGCTATAAGGGGAAAGTTTGGATTACCTGGGGGGGAGGAGGAGGCTAGATAATGAAGAGCCCTTTATGCTGTGCTTAAAATTATAGGCAGTGTAGGCCATTAAAGCTTTTAGGCTGCAGTGTGACCAGATCAGATTCTCATTTAGAAAGATTCACTGTGGCTCGGCGCCTGTGGCTCAAGCAGCTAAGGTGTCAGCCACATACACCTAAGGTGGCAGGTTCGAATCCCCAGCCCGGGCCCACCAAACAACAATGACGGCTGCAACCAAAAAATGGCCAGGCGCTGTGGCGGGCACCCGTAGTCCCAGCTACTT